CTAAAGTTAGGGACGGCTCTCACAGATAGCCCTCGTGTAGCTTTGCTCAAAATTCGAAAACCAAACCTAACCAATTTGGCTAAGTATATAACTAAACTTCTTACTATTAAAGCTTGTCCTCCATGTTTTAGTTAAGTATGTAACTACATTTCTCACTTTTATAGTTCATCCTCCTTGTTCTGGTCAAGTATGAAACTATGCTTCTCTCTATTGATGCTTGTCCTCCATGTTCTGGCTTAAATTTATAATAACACTTCTCACTATTAAAGCTTGTCCTCCATGTTGTAGTTAAGTATATAACTACATTTCTTGTTATTAATGCTTGTCCTTCATGTTCTGGCTTAAGCATGTAACTACACTTCTCACTATTAATGCTCAACCTGAACAGTCTTGCTAAGTAAATAATGATAGGTTTATTTCTTAAAAAATTATTTCTGTGGCTTGTATTCAAATCAAAAACTTCTTGCACACCAGATGAGTGTTCTACCAACCGAGTTAAAGGGTTAACCCACTAGCACTTGCTATTAAGGCACTGTTTAACAACTCGGACTATTGCAACAACACTCTTCGTTATCAAAACTTGTCCTCGGTTGCTCTCTCCAATTGTGTAACAATTTCTCACTACTAAAAGTCATCCTCTACCTTCTGAACGTGTGAATAACTACTTATCTCAGTAGTTAAACTTGTCCAAGTTCTGGTCCAATCATTCTTTTGGATAATTTACTAATAAAGTTGTGGTATAGTACATCAATTACAGTATATGATATTGTGGGTTGCCCATCACCTAAGTCAAGTGAAAGTCCAATTCAAACAAGCATTCCCCAAACCCTTAGATATCTGAATAGACAAGTAAAAGAAATCAGTTTCTCACCATGATTTGCTTGTTGGCTATTAACACATAGTTACTTTAACCTTTTTCATAGAATATTAGTGAAATAAACTAAAGATTTACAGTAATATATATTTGTTTGTGATTATTCTTTTGCGTATTTCTCTGCAAGTCATCCAGTATTGTAAGCTATCAGCCTTCAAACAAAATTAATGTTTTCTATTGACATTCAACATTACATAATTAATAGTCATTACCAGATATTGTTTTTCAGACATGTAATTGATAATTGATTGTGATTGTTTCTGAATGGTTTAATTCAGCATTTTTCAAAGTGGGGTTCCAATCACTAAAGGTGGTCAGAAGACTGTTTTTGAGGGGGAGGGCAGTAAAAACAAGTTTTAGAACTTCTAGTTTAATTAGTGATTGAAATTTTGTTTATGAATAATTCATCACAGGGCTTTTGTTAATTCCTTTGCACCAGACAACAAAGTTTTTAAATTCAATGTTCAAGTACTAAAGGTACCATTAGTCAAACTTCGCTGAACTTTGGAATTATTCTGACATTATAATAAAAAAGAAAAGTATTAAAATTGGGCCATTCAAAAATTGTATGTACATTACATGCTCTTTATAAAGTTTAGGGACAAACTATAAACTATTTAAGTCAGTAACTCTAGAATTACTGAAGGGGTCTCATCAGTTTTTTCAAGCACATTTTAAAACTTTTTATGCACCAAATTATTTGAGAGTCCAAGATTGTTTGTTACAGGTTCCCAAATAACATAGTAATCACACACACACACACACACACACAAAAAAAACTAATTACTACTGTGATCCACTATATATTTACACAGAATATTTATGATTTCACACAATTTGTTTGGTTAATATTTTACACTGAGTGTCATGACAGGAAAAAAACTTAAAATTACTCATTTTGATGAAGTATGTGGACCCCACTGTAAATAAATTGTGTAAAAAAACAAAGCCAGCACTTTGAGAGTTAACCGAAAGAAGGAATATTGACTGTAATTCCAAATTTATTACATGTGTCTACACAAAATGTAGCAGGCTTTTAGTCAAATGTACATGCACACAAAAAAAATCAGAAGTTAAAAGGTATAAATACTTTTGTCCGTTTTATAGTTGTACAGTTTTTTTTTAAGTATTCCTGTGTATTGTTCCTGGTATTTATTGACACCAAATATGTAATGCCATGTTGAATGGAATTCTCTAAAAGGTCATGGCCTGCTCACTTTGACCTCATTCCTGCACACAAGGTTAATGAAGTGTCAACATTGTAAATAATTAACAATATCAGATTCCAATGCCTTTCTGACAACAAGAGACAAACTATTTGGCCTATATTTTCAAAATCCTCAATAAACCGTTGTTTTTAAGTGTAGAGATGACATTAGTAATCTTTCAGTCACCAGGAATTTCTCCAGTATGGAGATACTGCTAAAAAGTAACTGTCTTTCTTCTAAAATTATGGATTTTAGGATAAACCTAATCAAGATCAGGATCTTTATTCACAAAAAAAAATATTGAGCTTTTCTAAAACAGACACTTATTCAGCTTGGAAGACTTCTCATCAGTAAAACACTTCTTCAGCTTGGAAGTCTTCTCCTCATCAGTAAAACAGACACTTCTTCAGCTTGGAAGTCTTCTCCTCATCAGTAAAACAGACACTTCTTCAGCTTGAAAGTCTTCTCCTCATCAGTAAAACAGACACTTCTTCAGCTTGGAAGTCTTCTCCTCATCAGTAAAACAGACACTTCTTCAGCTTGGAAGTCTTCTCCTCATCAGTAACACAGACACTTCCTGAAAATGAGAAAATACAAGTTAGAACTAGTGGTGCATTAGGGAAGACACACATTCACAAAGTCAACAATGCGGTCCGATCAAATATGAAATCCAACCTTGCAAGAAACTTTAAAGGGAATCTCATTGTGGATAAAGTGAACATGTCTAAAGGGCAAACAAGTTTTATTACTTGTGTCTGATTTACTGATGACGAGAAGACTTCAAATTTGAAGAAGTGTCTGTGTTACTGATGACGAGAAGACTTCCAAGCTGAACATTCAGTACATGATATTACATATATATATATTGTATAAAAATCTGTCTCTCTCACACCATGACTATTAACACTACACTACTATTAATGAAATGAATTACAAACTAGCTTTGGAAAAATGCAAACATGAGGCTAATAAAGCATGTGTGGGTGCTCATGTACTGTATGTTGCATAAAGGTTGTGGGCTATGTAGTATTAGTCAATAAGTGATCCATAGCAGATACTTAATTCTGTGAGAGATGATTGGTTTAGTCTTCTGTGCCCACCTCTTACATAAAGGTTGTGGGCTATGTAGTATTAGTCAATAAGTGATCCATAGCAGATACTTAATTCTGTGAGAGATGATTGGTTTAGTTTTCTGTGCCCACCTCTTACATAACAATCATTGATCACTATTGCAACACACTTGGATTTATTGCAAATAATATCGGAAATATTTTCCATTACAGTTTTTGAAATGTCAGAGCTATTTCATGAGGTTTTTGTATAACCAGGCAGTATGTGGATCTATGTTTTGAGTAAAAAAAACCTGATTTGAAAACACAGTATTCTATATAAATGCAAGGTTTGCTTGGACTTTATTTTTGCAGTTAAAGAAAGCATAAACATCAGTCATGTAACTTAGAGATATTAATGTTTTGTGTAAGAGGTCATAGCTTTGTGCAGTTGTTAATTTAATGGGAAGTGATTCTGCAGACTTTACTTCCTCCAGATTTTTGTGTCAGAATCTAAATGCAGGAGAGGACTTAATATAATAACTCATTTTTTTTATTGTATTGTTTTCTATTAAACGAATTGTATTGTAACTGTAAGATGTACATTTAATAAGACAGTTTCACTTCAAATTCTGTCAATGTTCTTATCATTAATTTATCATTTTCTTTAGTTATTTCAGACAAATTGTGTTTCTATTAATATTAATCAGTGTAACTAGTAATTGGTGCTGTGAAGGCTGTAAAAACTCTACCTAATTTTAACAGTTCAAATTCTCCAACACATACATTATTGATAATACACACTTTTGAAAATAAGATTGATTTTCTCTTCTTACTTGTATACTTAAAATTGTTTACTTTTAGCCCATTCCTGCAGAGATACTTATCAAAGCTGTCGTGGAGTTTGTACGTAGCATTCCATCTGTTGAAAACCTTGATGCTGTTGGCACTCAGATATTTGGAGCAGTTGGACAGAACAAAATTAACAAATTCAAACATTGTGTTCAATATTACTTAAATGGTACCAAAGATGGATTTCTTCATTATCACCCAGCTATTGAAGGTGAGAAAAATTGTTCATTGCTACGTTTTATGCTTTTGGTGTTCCGTAACTAGTAACATAAGTCCTGAAAAAAATCTTCTATATGTGCTTCCATATCTTATGTTTCAAAGTCATAAAGTCTATGGCACCCAGTCACAAGTTAAAATTTTGTCTTTATTTTGATAATGAATGTGTTTCATTATCATCACTTAATTACATGGTTGACTCTCACAAGAGTAATACAAAAATGCTAAATAATTTCACACTAATCAATAACGTCATGTTTCATACTTGGAAAATTTAGGTTAAACCTTTTGAGAAAAACCCTAATCTGACTCATTATATTCTTGTCACATCAAAAGTAGAATGTTTTAAACTTCTACAACAGTCTAATGCTGGAATTTAAAACCAGAATCAGTACTAAACAGTACTATAGTTGGTCATTGGAGTTAGGATGTGAGGGTTGCAATTTAATTTTATCTTGGGTGGTAATTTAGTCTTGAGCTAACCTTGGTGTTACCAGTCATTACAGCAAAATGGATTGGTAGCCTTAACCCAATGTTAACTTTGTTGTACTTTAGTTCATGATTAATAATCTATGTTTTTGTGGTTTTAACTGGATTTGTTTATAATTGTATTTATTTAAAAAAAAAAGTTATTTAAGTAGGGAGTTTCCTTTTCATAAAGTAACTTGAAATTTTAATATGAATAAGGTACATGTCAATTATAATTGTAACTCATTAGATCAGAAGTTAGAGAATAATACAATATTTTAATTACATTATCAGTAATTTGGCAAATGCTACTAAAATTTTAAGAAGTAAAGCTAGTAGATATAGGTCATTATTTTATTTACATTAATAGAAATGTCAAGTAATAAACTCCAGTTTGCATTAAACAAAGACAATAATATTCCTTAAACAATTTCTTTACCAGTATTTCATATTTTAAGTTTCAGTAAATCTCTAGGAATTTCAGTTATAAAACCATGAAGTTCAAGTGTCTGATTTTCTCTTTATAACAAATTGAAAAGCTATTACTCAGTGGTTATTAAAAAACCTTCTAGCTCAACTTTCTTTTTTTGTAAGCTATGCATTGTTTATTATCAAAGAGACCACAGCATTTCAATAAAATTATGTTTCCCTCATGTTATTTGAACACAATTATCTTGATAAACAATTAATTATAAAATGCATATAAAAGTCAACACCTAAGAACTTTTCAAAGCATTTTTTCTGAAAATCTACAACTTTTTATAACAGTTAATATCCAAACTATTCACAACCTCACATGGTAGTATAATAATTTAATTACATGAGAAACAAATATTATTGCCTTAATATTTAGAAGCAAAAGATGACATTGTTTGGTTCACATTTAATTAATTTTCATTACAAATAAAAACAAACAAGATTCCCTGTTTTACAGTAGCACATTAATATTTTAGTCAATCAGTTAAAAGCCAACTGTTCTTCTTTAATACATCTATTATTTAACCTGCCTACTTATTACCTTACAGCAAATCTTTTTCCAAGTTCAACTAACAATTAACACAAGGGTTACAAGTGAAGATTTTTACGACTATTTAAAACTTTATTCTTAACTTCCATCACACAATTTTGAATATCAGTGCAGTCTAGCAATTACCTGTAATGATCAGTGAGCTAATAAAGAAATGTTTTGGATATATATATATATATGTCATTATTTTATTTAAGTTAATATAAACATTTAAAAATGGCATTTTTGGTTTTAGAATATCTGTCCCAGTAGAAAGAGTTGATTTTAAAATATCAAACAAACTTTCATTGACTTGCAATCAACAAATATTTTATATTCAAATTTAATGGTTCTCATTTTGTTAAGTAATCATTTTTTTTTCTGTTGGTATCAGAGAGATTATGATAGACTTCTAGTGTCTTTATCTCATTCTTCTTTTTAATTTTAGGTCATAAAGAAGAGCCAGGCTGTTACCCGGTAGACAGACATCCACTTACTTCTGGACATCAACAAGGAAAGCCTTTGAAATGTAGGTCACTGACAGATGTTATCAATCTTTCCAAAATATAGTTAAAAGCATGTTAATGTTTTGACTGTTTCTAGGATTCTTATGTAATTGTATGACAATTGATAACCCATGAATAATTTATACGAGTGTGGATTGCAGTCTTCAACATTTTTATGTTTTAGTTCCATATTTTAAAACAGCACACAAAAAAACTCATTTTCAGTACTACAATTATACAGCTAGTATTTGGACTCTAACTCACATTTTTAACAGAGTATGAATGCAAACAAACTAGATCACTGTGCTTCTGTCTGTGAACAGGCAAAGAAGTGACTGAATATAATTTACAGTCAACCAATAGAAGAAACATAGTCTTGTTTTTCGTATTTGCCCTTGTTCAGGGTTACTGATGATGGTTGAAATTCCCCAAAACTATGACAAGTGATGAATCACGTGGTAGATTGGGCTTCGTATTTACTTTGAGTAAAGAAAAGACTGTTAAGTATTATCAGTTAAGATTTTATCATGTAATAGTGGTGGTATTTGTTATCATGATGAACCTATTTTTAACCTAATCTTCAGCATTGTGTGTGACTCTGCATTATAAAAACTTGTGATGTTCCTCCCCTTCAACATTCTGTGCTTCATGTTACATATGTTAACGTAACTCCAAAATTTTCCTCTTGAGGCATAGCAGGAAAACAGTACTTAGTTTTCAAGGAATGGTAACCATGTAGTTTTGTAATCAAATTATAAATTATGCAGGCCTGCAATGGTTTTATTGTCTTGAAATTTTTACACGTTCTGCAATAATTCCTGTACGCTTAATCCAAGAATGATATCCATTTTTCTCCATCACTTACAAATTTTTCACAAAACATCATAATTCAATATATAAAAGAAAGACCACAACACATAGTTTTGAGACTAAAAGGCGTAGATTTCACACAAAAAAAATTAGGACGAATGAGGATGCATATTCATTTGACCTCAATGTTCTTCCCTTTTCTTTAGTTTGTTTGTATTTTTGTTAACAAACATAATATTAAAAATGTTCTTTGTGGTAAACAAAAATAATAATTTGATCTAAGTAAGAGTAAAAAATCCTTATGCGATAGAAAAGAATGAATATTATTTTTGAAAATATGTTAAAGTGTATGAAAAATATGTTATTAAAACCAAAACAACTTTTATGAAGTTTAAATTCTCAGGCCTGTGTTATCACAAGTCCATTCCTAGTGCACTGGGAAATATACGCTCCAGCCACAGTGAAAGGGTTAATATTTTGCAACTTGTTCAATGTATCAGTTCAGATACTTTAGCTATAATTTAAAGTTAATCAGTTATTGGTAAGTTATAAAACAAGCTAAATAAATTGTGTCATTGCAAAAATTATCTAAGGACTAGTTATTTGTCACTTCTTATTTTAAAGATAAACTTAACTACTTCAGTGAGAAGATAGGGTAGTGATAAATGATGTATTTTACTTAACTCTAATATTTGGCTTAATAGGGTTGTCAATAGGCTACCTGTACTTAGTGTTGATTATTTATTCCCAAGCTATGATGGTTAAGAGTAATGTTAGTGTTAAGTGCTCACAGTTTGTTAGGTGCAAGGAGCAGGCTTTATTTGGGAAATCGGGGCTCGCATACACATTTAGTGAAGCTAGCAGTGGCGTTGTACAATTTGTATGTAGAGTTTGTAGGAGGTTGGAATTGGAGGATAGAGGATAAAGAGAAAGGTAAACTGAGGGAAATGGCAGCAGGATTTAAAGAGGAAATTAAGCTTTTGCATGCAAAGGATACAGTGGTTAATGATGATTTTCAGGAAATTAGAAATGGTAATAATAGGGTTAGTTGTAGTAGATTTAATTATAAAGAGCAGACTCTAATAAAGAACATATTTCAGCCTTTAGCTTGTGAAGATGATGAACTTGAGGGAAGGATAACAAAAGGAACAGATAGGGATATAAATGAAAAACAGAGGTTATAAGAGAATCTTTAGTATAGATGACTTCAGAACACTGGTTGGAACAGAGGATTTTGATATAATGCAATAACTGAAACCTATCTAAATGTAGACAGTTATGATGACAGGAATGTCTTTGGTTACAAGCAAAAGTACTCATCCCCAGAGATGGGAAAGATTTAGCTTAATCTATCAGTTTAAATTATTTTGTGGCCTTTAAAAAGGTTAATTGTGTTGCACTCTTGGTTTCACTCAGAGATACTTATACCACCCATCACAAAAAGTAATTGTTGAGCACTTCAGTCATGCTAAGAGCCGATCAACAGTAATATACTTTACATCTACATTATTCTTTAAGTTAGGTCACATTTTGAAATGTGATCAATTAATTAGTGTTATAAATTCTTAACAACTTAGTGTAGAATATCCTGTTTGTGAAACAAAATTTGGCATCAACATTAGTCATGTCCATTTTGAAATGTGACTGTATTTTGCAAAATACTAGTCCACTAAAACATAGCCAAGACAGGTAACTTTGTAAAGACTAAAGGTCAGTTACATCCTATTGGATACGGTAACACAAGTGCACATACGCTGCATCATGGTAATTTCTGTATTGTTAGCCAGTCATGGCTGAAAGGTCAATATAATAAATATATTTAAATGTATAATGGTACAAGATTTAAAGTATTTAGACTAAACGTTTGTGTTTCCGTGTTATAATTTGTAGTCATTCTAGAATGAAGAAAACAATTTATAATTTTTTACTAATTTTTTTATTGAGGTTATGAAGTTTGTCAAAACAAACCAACCCGTACAGAAAAACAGTAGTGTAAATAACAAATAAAATATAATGTTTTCTAAAAAAAAATTAATAATTATCTGGAGATTATAAAGATTTCGCATGTGAAATTTGAAAATGTTCTAATGCATTGAAGTATTTTTAATCTTAAAATTGCTTTGCATGTTGGATAGTCAACATTCTGAAAGAAAAAAGGTTTACGAGAACATCTTTAGTTAAAAACTCTTAATACTTAATTTAAAAACCTGACATTTTGTGTTTGAAAACCTTGTAGTGTTAACCAGTAACCTGCAAAACTTTGTAAAGATGTGCATATATGTTCAAAAATCATAGTATGATTACTCTCATGGTTACGAGCTGGGTGGATTTCACCCAGTCTGTAATGGAAGGGTTAAAGGAGGGTTTACAAAAGTTTGGGAAATGCTGCTTTAAGGTATTATCATCTAAATGGGCAATATATATATAACATTTCTAGTGTGGTAGAATGTACATTCTTGGTGTACATTATAGAAATTGTTAATCTCGTATATAGATCTTCAAAATAAAGCTATTCATGGTTAGTGATATGACTTTGGTTGTCAGTTGGTTGATAAGGGAGTTAACTAAATTTCCATAGATATTGTAAGTTATAATGAAAAGTACATTAGCTATCAAATATAGCTTATACTGAAAAGTCAATGCAGGAAAATATAATTTTACATAACATTAACCCTTTCTATATATGATTCCTGTTCATTCCAGTTATGATAATATGGTCACTATTTATAACACACAGTTTTCCTGTTTTCTTTCAATTTTTAAGCTACATTGTTTAATATGGATTGAATTATGACATTGGTGGGAGTGCATTATTATTTTTACTAAAATAAAACCCATTCTCTCAGCTTGAACTGATTTAGGATATGTGACCTTTGGAAGTTTCTCTTTTTTTTATGTGTTGTTTTTTCATAGAAACTTGATAATGTCTCATAAAGATAGTGTAGTTATGATTTCACCTAACTTTACCTTGATTTTCAAGCTTTAAAATGTTTATAGAATATACACTTAAATGTTATTTCGCATTCATTACAGTATAACTTGAAGAAAAACAATTTATCCATGTCCTTATACTTAGAGGTATTCATAATTTATCTGTTTTGTTTTAATGTATTAAATGCATTTAACTGTCTCATACATTAGGTGATGTCAAGAAGAACTCTACCAACTCCAGTGTGAAATTTGCCTCTGAAACTGAAGAAAGTGAGGTTAGCAAAAACGTTGAATTTTCTCTGGAAACTAGAAGAATGGGATTATATCACAGTAAAATACGTTAGAATTAATAACTCTCCACTTGGTATAATTAATTGTTGTAGTAAATATTTTCCTTACCAGCTTGGAGCTGAATCTTATGATTATCTTTGAAAAATTGTAACATTAGCTGACATTTTAATTTTTTATAAATATTGGTTTGCCTTTTTATTTCTTTCTCAACCCGTACTCCTTTTATAATAATAATATTGAGTTTTTCTGTGAAATTTACATTTATTATATTACCATTATTTATGTTTAAACTCTGATTGGCTGAAAGAAACGTGATTTTTGAGTTGTTAATTGACGTTATTCAAATTTAATGTTAATTCTTTTTCTTTTCTTTTTTTTTGGAAAAGTTTTTTGTTTACAGTTTCCTTCTGAACTAGTTGTGATTATTTTTACAAGTTTTATGTTTACGTATGTGTGTGTAATTCCGCAGCAAAATTGAATTGTGTATTTATTGGTGTAATCTCAGTCATTGGTTTTGATTTAGCAGTCTACCCTGAGTGCTTATCATCAAGCTACTACTCAGTATGGGACAGAGATTACAAAAGATTCTACCAACCAAGGTAAGCAAATTGTCTTGAACTATGTTGACACTAGCATGTCATTTAGTTCATATTTTTTAAAAAAACTTTAGTTTTAAGTAAATTATCTTGTTCTTTGGGGATGTGATAACTGTATTTAAAAAGTTTAGTGGGAAAGTACTGTTAATATATATAGTGATGTATGTCAATTGTGTTTGATGTTTTGTCTAATATAACTTCCTTCATGTTTAATTTCAATATTTGTTATACAATTAAATCTTGATTTTTTATTTTATTTTTTTTGAGGAGGGAGAGATTGAGTATGGCCGAGTGGTTAGTATGTTGGGCTGTGACTCAAAGGGTCTAGGATGATGTAATGCATGAATATGCTCTGTACTCTAGTGGATAAATTCATCGATCCACAGCCTGACATGCTATCCACTATAGTACCAAGAATGTTCATGCATCACATCTTGAACCCTGGATTCATCGATCCACAGCCTGACATGCCAGGGTTCAAGATGTGATGCATGAACATACTTGGTACTGTAGTGGATGGCATGTCAAGCTGTGAACTGATGGATCCAGGGTTTGAGATGTGATGCATGTACACATTCAGCTGTGAGTGCATCAGAAAAGTGTAGCCAATAAAATCTGTTTTTTAGTCCAAAGTGCCAAACAAAACGTATGTGATGGATGGTGCTGCTGGCTACCTGCTCTTTGGTCATTAGTTAAAAATTAAGGATAGATAGGGGTCTCTGGCCTGAGCATTTAACCCTTTTGCAACAGGCTCAGTGTAATATACACAAGTTCATATACACGTTAAGTATATATACTATAACTTTTAATTCAGTATGTATATCTTAAAATTAACATCACAAGTTTTTTGTACACAAAAAATCTAATTTTTTAATGAAGTATTTTTACTAAAGATATGTTTGTTCCTAGAGGAAGTAATTTTCATGTTATGATTAAAAATTCTTCATCCCACAAATCTCAAGTTTCTTTCTGTGTAATCTTTAAAATCTCCTAAATACATTTCAGACATTTGTTTTCAGTAAAACTATACCTTATCACTTATTTATTGATATACTTGAGCCTTCAGCATGTAGACAAATCCCGAAAGTATACTGTAAAGACAAGTTGTAAAATTAGAAATACAAGGAGCAACTGTGCCATTTTTTCGATATTATTGGTCAGAAAGTTCCAAGTACTTCTCTTACAAATTTGAACTGCTAAACATTTCACATTTATTTTCTGTGTTTATTTTACTGTCAATGACTAAAGTAGAACCCTGCTGAAAATAAACCAATATATCGCCACTTGTGTCAGTAGACTGTTTACGTGACACCACTATAATATGATACTCCCGAAAGCAACAAAGCATGCAAGAACAGATAGTTGACTTGACCCCTGCTCCAAGAACAGGATGTCTAATGTATTGGATTATATATGCTAAAGTGTTTTCTTGGAAAATTCAGAGTAATCACACTGCACTTAGAATTAGTGAACACAGGATGTGTAATTTATCAACTTGTGTATGTATCTTAAAGTGTTTACAACAAGAATTTTTGAGAGTAATCACACTGCACTTAGAATTAGTGAACACAGGATGTGTAATTTATCAACTTGTGTATGTATCTTAAAGTGTTTACAACAAGAATTTTTGAGAGTAATCACACTGCACTTAGAATTAGTGAACACAGGATGTGTAATTTATCAACTTGTGTATGTATCCTACAGTGTTTACAACAAGAATTTTTGAGTATAATCACACTGTACTTAGAATTAGTGAATACAGGATGTGTAATTTATCAACTTGTGTATGTATCCTAAAGTGTTTACAACAAGAATTTTTGAGAGTAATCACACTGCACTTAGAATTAGTGAACACAGGATGTGTAATTTATCAACTTGTGTATGTATCCTACAGTGTTTACAACAAGAATTTTTGAGAGTAATCACACTGCACTTAGAATTAGTGAACACAGGATGTGTAATTTATCAACTTATGTATGTATCCTAAAGTGTTTACAACAAGAATTTTTGAGAGTAACAACACTTCACTTTGAACCTGTCAAAACATTTATTATGGGTTTGGTGGTGATACAATAAACATTGAAATTCTTTGAATATTGGTAATCCTTTTGGGGTATTTAGAATTTAGCAGAATAGGTGTACATAGATGTTATTTGACCACATGCTTATAAAATACTATTTCCCTTGTCAGCAGTAATTCATCAACCAATAAAAACTTTAGTTTTGGTACTACTTATCACACTCAATTAGTTTTGCAAGTCCTATAACTCTAGTCTTCTCTGGAAAACATTCTTACTTTTGCAGCTAATGTGTAGTTTAGAAGTTCCCTTACAGTTGTGAAACACCATGAGTTGTTACTGACTCTTACAGTGAAGTAAGTAATAATCATTTATTATATACAAGTACAATTCTAACTATTACCAATATTTTGCAAACTACACCGATGTTTTGGCTACAATACGTTACATATATACACATATATATTAATACATAAATTACATTGATAGAAAAATATTTTGCCCTCATGTGCCTTTAGGGCTAAGCCTTGTTTATTTTTTCGAGTGGAGGGTGAAGAAATATAATTTTTTGTAGGTTTCAAATATATATTTTAGAAAGAAAATAAATATTACATTACTCTACTAGTACACCCAAAACATCTGTAACTTTCCTGGGTTTATAAATAAAGTACATATGTGTTAAGAAAATTTTATCTCCATTTAGAGCAACAACTTGGTCATCACCATTCAACAGTCTTAGCAAAATTATTACTTTCTCTTCCAAGCTCTTTACAAACCACTGTCAGAATCATGTAGAGCACAACTTGTCCTTTCTATTGGTTATAAATAGACCCTTAAGAAAAGTAGGTGGAACTAAACAAGAGATTGGGAAAGAGTGGAGTAGGAGGAGGAGCCACTCTAGTTGATTTGCTAGATACATTGATTTCTCAACAAATCAAAGTGGTGGGAGGTTCTAAATTTATATTCTAGCTTACCAGTATCTAAAATTCATGCTTCTAATTTGTATATAGATATGTATAGTAGCCATTAAATATATAAATTGAGCAACAAGACATGAGAAGGTGCTATGTGACACACAAATCAATATTTAGCTTTATCTTTTCTTTTGAATTAAGAAATTGAAACATACATAATATTAAAATTTGAAACATAAGCAACATATTGATGCCAATTTCATTGATATATAATAATAATAATAAAGTTGCTAAAAGACCATGGCACGTGCTGTTAGACCCACCTGTTGTGAAAGGGTTAACCAGTGTGTAAATATGATGTCATACAAGTTGAAAATGCCAATTTCATTTTTTATGATTGAGCTTAATTGAGCAGTTACTTCTGTCAAATTTGTAGCACTTTGCTATGTTATTTGTACAATTATTATTTGTCTGTTAGTTTGGAACTCCAAATGGGTTAGACAGAATTATGTGCATAAAAACTTAAATATTCTGTTACGTATAATGGCATCCATCTAACTCTAGGGTCACGAAGTAGCAGTAAGTCACAATACATGAAGCTTGTGAGTAAGTAAGTAAACTAGATATAATGGACAAGTTCATATAGTATTGATGGGTAATTAAAAAAACTAGAGATGTTTCATTCTATTCAACTGATCTGAACTATTAAAAGTAACACTAATGTTGATAGAACTAGAATACTGCCTGATTCTCTAACGTATAAAGATAGAGATTTCCTTAAGCTATTTCACTCCCAGCTTCACAAAACAAAGGTTATAAGCTGCAAACACTAGCTCACATTGAAATCTTTGAATCAACCAGAAGAAAAACTGCACAAAACAAAGGTTATAAGCTGCAAAAACTAACTAACATTGAATATCTTTGAATCAACCAGAAGAAAAACTGCACAAAACAAAGGTTATAAGCTGCAAAAACTAACTAACATTGAATCAACCAGAAGAAAAACTGCACAAAACAAAGGTTATAAGCTGCAAAAACTAACTAACATTGAATATCTTTGAATCAACCAGAAGAAAAACTGTACAAAACAATTAGAGGATAATTGGAATTTATAAGGGTAATTTAGCTTTGATATTAGACAAAATCAATGATATAAATTAATTTTAATATCTTCCCTCAGTTTGTATTTATATTAATTAGACTTGGGTATGTCCACCACTACTTATTCTTGCCCTCACCCTACTCTCTCAGTATCATGCTCCTGTGGGAAAATAGAATTGCCCTATCATTGTGCATTCTCTCCAAATGAGTATAAACCTGTTATACGTTTGCAAGGTGAAGCACAACTCACCTGTCAAAAGAATATTTTGTCCACTGGATATGTTCTTGGCACCATTACAGGTAGAGTCTGTTTCTAACCTTCTGTAAAATAATTTCTGTGAATATCTGATTCAGTCTCATAACAGGTACCCTACAATTGCAACAAGCCACAGTTAACTTCTCGTGTCTTGTCTTGACCTGAGGCCTGAGCAACTGTGCTGTTCATTTTGAAAGGAGTTCCACATTTTGCTAACAACACTTGCAGCCAGTTTCCAAAGCCTGATATGATTGACCACTTTATTTTGTCCAGTGTCTCTTCACATGACCATGACATTCAGATCCTTCCTCAAGGCATCTCTTTGTGCAAGAATATTCCATTTGTTTCACTATTCATATCCTGTACATTATGTCGCTACTATTTTTATTCTGAATTATTTGGGTTTATCTGTGGTTGAGTTGTTTAATCTTTATTTGATTGTATTACTGAGTACTTACCTTCCCATAACAGTGAATGTATAGTTTGGTTCAGGACATTGAGTTCAAGCACCTGAAACAGACCATCTAATAATTTCAAATGTGTTCATCTGTTGAATGGTAGTACATTTTTTGGGGTTACGTTTTAAGATGTACCTATGTATATATGTAATTGTATTTCAAATAACACTAGTGATCATCAGATGCTTGATTAACATAATATAATCAGCTATAGAGGGTGATGGTGATTCATATGATTTTATAACATTACATTATTTTGTCATCATTTTAAAAGAAGAAATTTCAGCTGTTCTTTAAATGTTTTGTACTTTATGCGTATGTGATACTTTTGTTCCAATCATATGCAGGTCAAGACAGTATTGTAACTAATTCTTAGACAGTGGAAATTAATGATCTAATCATGTGAAATTTCACTGGATCCAGTTGCTTATGGATAAAGATGGACTATTTAAACTAAGCTGAAGACTTAAGAGAGAGATGTTAAAATATGTTTTACTGAAATATACTCAGCAGAACCTGTTCTAATTAGATTAATCAAAACCTATAAATTTGTATTACTTAAATGGCAAATATTGTTAGACTTTCTGCATTATACTGTACACTTTGCACAGGTTTTCATTTAAATCAAAACCAAACTTATAGCTGTATTTTATTGTTTTATCCAGGTTCTCAGTTAATACAAAACCAAACTTACAGCTATATTTTATTTTTCTATCCAGGTTCTCAGTTATATTGAAACCAGGCTTATAGCTGGATTTTTTTTATATCCAGGTTCTCAGTTAACTAAACCAGGCTTATAGCTGGATTTTATTTTTTGTATCCAGGTTCTCAGTTAAATCAAAACCAGGCTTACAGCTGGATGTTTTTTTTATATCCAGGTTCTCAGTTAAACAAAACCAGGCTTACAGCTGGATTTTTTTTTTATATATCCAGGTTCTCAGTTAAAACAATACCAGGCTTACAGCTGGATTTTTTTTTATATATCCAGGTTCTCGGTTAAATCAAAACCAGGCTTACAGCTGGAGTTTTTTTTTTTATCCAAACAGATTCAAGTGGATCGTTGTCTAGAAACGTCAATGGTGGTTTGTTGCCAAGTCCCAGCACCTCTTCCTGCAGCAGTGACTCCATCTCTAACTGTTATAGCCCTGAGATTGCATGGGCTTCAAAACAGAAAAATAAGGTAAACATTTTTGTAATTTGTTTTATTTTTGCAGTAAAAATTACATTCATAATTTTTTTTTATTATTATTATTACCATTCATGGATACGATACAGATGCAAGAAGTTAACAACATTGTGCATGTGATACTAATGATAGTTGTAATTGAAAATGATTTGAAAAATTCTACCATTCCTTACTCATGCTCATTCACACATATCCAGTTTAATATAACCCTATTGCCATGGGCATTCTTTACTGTGTATATCACAAGGTTTTAGTGACTTACATTCAAAATTTAATTAAACTACTTTTTGTTTATGTTATACCAATTAGTATAGCATAAATTGGTAGCTAATAATCCATATTTTAATAGTATATAAGTTTTAAGTTCTTAATTTCATAAGACAATATTATACAAAATCCTGAATTTCCCCTAGTGTGAGAAATGTGACATATTTTTTCTAGGCATCCCCGCTTCTCTATTTTATTCACCACCCATCCAATAAGTACGAAATTTAACGTCAATTACTAACTACAAAATTGTCATTGTGCAGACAAACTATAATTTTTATAGCCTTCAATCTTGTTTGGTTACAGAGCCATCATATAGAACATCAGACCCCTCTTGCCACACCCACCTATCACATCCTCTTTTTTGGAATTTGTTGATAGTTTTTACATACTTTTAATAATATATTATGTATGACCAATAGAAAAACAAAGGTTTCATCTATCAAATTAAGTATCATATTACGTTGTTTTCTGAACAGAGAATTGTCACTTTCTCTGTTAGTACAAGCTTCGTTCCCATGGGAAAGATAATGACTAGCTTGGATGAATTTGTAATGGCTCTTGTCGCATAGTTAGAAAGCCTGAAAAATTGTGAGAAATTGTCGGTTTTTGCATGTTATTATTCTATGTTCTTTGGTGCATTATTTAATTAAATAAAAATTTAGTACATTAATACTAATAGGGTTAAGTGTCATCAACAGTCAACAGCAAAAAAAAAATGATGATGACCCAGGTAATACTTTATTTCTTGTTTTTCATGTTTATTCTTTATTTATTTTTAAAAAATTAACTAAAATGTAAAAATAGGGATCTCTCTAGGTTAGTTGAGGTTAGATTAGGTAAAATAAATAATAATATAATAAATGTTTCATGAGGCACGCATGCAAGCAGCTCAGAGTAGCTCGTGGGTAATGTAATCCGATAGTGTAACGTGAGTTCCACATTCTCCAAGTGATTTACAGTTTATAATGGCATGAATAGTAGTAGTTAGACATGGTTCAAAGGGCAATAAAACTTAAATGTAAATAGATATATATTGTTACAAGTTTAAAGCTACTTAGGATAAATGAATGTAGTTTCATGTATTGAAGTCATTTTAGAAAGAAAAAGGGTAAATGTCATGATATAAAAGACTGTTTAGTTTAGATGTAACTTATTTTGTGAGTGAATATTTTATTATTGTTTAGTTTTTGTTATAATAAGAGTTAAAAGCAGACAATTGTAGGAAGTTGTGTTTATAATTCATTGATGTTGAGACAATCGAACGTCCTGTGCAATACATTGACATTATGGAGATTTCTAGAAGGAGGGCAGACGATTAAGTGATAAACATATAAATAGTGTGAGATGAGCAGAAACAGTAGACAGACAATAGCAGAAGAGAGTAAAGTTACGAGCAAGGAAAAGTTCGGCATGAAGTTAATTACCATAGAAGTGATAGGCATAACGTTTAATATGTTAGAGTAAGACTAACAGTAGAAAAGGAGATAAGAAGAATTATTCCTTCAAATTGTGGTCTTAAAGTAACTGAATCAGCCTAGGTGCACTTTGACAAAAGGAACAGAAGATATTTTGAAGAAAGAAGACCAAATGATTATAGTAACTCACACCACAATTGTAAGTGAATCACACGCAGAATACTAGTGTGATAGTAATAGAGAAGATAATTCAGCTTGTCAGCTGAAATTCTAAGGTAATTGAATAGGCCTAAGTGGACTTTTGACAAGAAGAAAAGAAGAATATATGCAAGTTTAACTTGTTCTGAATATATATATTATTTTGAAAACAAGTGAAGTGTGTGCTTTCCATTTATCGCTAACAAGTCACAGATACCTACTGTAGAAGAATCCTAAGCCCAACAAGGACATGGTATATATTTATACTATGAAGAAGTATAAGTAAAGGCCTTTTATTTTAAATATTGGTGAAAAATTATATTTTAAATTCAGACGGGTAATTTGGATTTTTTTTGGGTGGTTATGAAGTTGGTGAAATTGATCAACCTTGTGTATAGTTAGGGTAGAGAAAATAACATAAAATATAAAGTTTTCCTGAAAACAAGCATATGAAATGTATTTAGGAGGTCTTAGAGATTATACAAATGAAATTTGAGATGAAGAAAAGTATTTTTAATTTCTTTTAATTTTTAAGAATGTGAAAATCACTTTGCATGTGGACTAGTAAAAAAATATACTCAATATATTCACGAACAAATCTTTTTTTTAGCTTATTAAAAATACTTCACTAAAAAATATGATTTTTTTGTATGTGGAAGATTTATAATGTTTACTGAAAGTCTGCAAAATTTTGTGAAGACATATGTACTATATTAAAAGTTAATAGTATCAAAACCATAAAGTCTTTAAAATGAGTACAGTAAGGTCACATGGTCAGTCAAATTGACAAGGATGTGTCGAGAGAGATAAACTAGTAAATTCACCTGTGCCTTGCAATCTTTTATTTCCATGGCTTTCTAGAGATGGCAGGAAGTGTGCATGCACACCATTATCTTATGTAGGTCTACTAAAAACAACAAATTTCCAAAAGCATGTGTGCATTTATTGTAGTCTTCATGTTATAACAGCTGTTCCCGTAATTACTTATCAATTTAAACTTTACTTTTGGTGGCCTACCTGAGTTTGCCTACCAAATTTCACGTAAGTTGTTTCAATAAGTTCATCACAACAGTTTGTGACACCAGAAGACAAGTCAGTATAGATAGTAGATCAATAAGTAATCAGTTAATAAATCTTTGAAGCTTCTGATAATTAATATCAGTTTATTTTAGTAAAGGTTAATCTATATCGTATGTAGAAATTTTTCACAGAAGGCTTCCCTGTCTTGTTGACATACTGATATTAAGTTTCGTACCTGGGTATTGATGAGCTCTTTGTGATTGAGTGTGTTAATATTAATGACAATATTTTTGAGAAAAGCAAAGTGTTTTTAAGAAAAATATACCACATAAATTTAAAAAGTGAAACCTGCACTGAGTCAACTAACTACCTCCCCATTTAGAATAAATATCTTCAGCATTCAGTACTAACTTCTCAAATTAAGAACAGTAAATTTCACTTTGAATTCCTTGTATAATCTCTTCATACTACTGCTGTTAAGTATGAATACTTGCATACTAGAAAGCAAAATTTTGTCGTTTCTTTAAATGAGTTTACTGTGGACCATTGCAGGTAGAAAGGGATTTGAATATCAGTGTGTAGAAAATTAAGTTGGTTTATTAGAAGCTAAGCTATATTCATGACCAGATAGTCTTCTACAGTTAAAATAAAATTAGATTTATTATAATAATTGTGACAAGTAGAAATTATAGTTCATCACACCTTGCATGGATAAGGTGTAGCATTCTCCATGCAAGATATTTCTGAAGACTGTATGTGTTAATATACATATAACTTGTTCTTTTCCAAATGAACAGCAAAACTCAGTAGATAGCAAGGTCACACCCACTGGAACAACTAGCATAGAGATTCCCAGAATTTCTCCAGAAGTAATGAGAACTGCAAGTGAACGCCACCAGAAGGGGCTGATGTCGCCATGGATATACCAGCTCCTTTCTCAGGTGATAAATAACAGATTTTTTGATGGAAAAAATTTTCTTTTCAGTTATAAGCAAAAAAGTTAAGATGAACAATGTTTTTAATGATAACTAGTATTGCATATAATAATTGCTTGTAAAATCAAGCAGCATTTTGACTACAATTGAAAGATACATATTTATAATGACTGTATTATTTAGCCATGTATTACTTGTAAAGACCACAAGTAACATTTGCAATTAAATATCATAATTAGGTGATAGTGTGCATTGTTATATAAATTATGGGATCATTTAACAAGTGAAACAGAATCATAGTCTTCTGATCTAGATTGTTCCCTCTTTCAATCTGACAGTAATTTTATGAAGTTCAGTCAAAAATCATATTAACATGTGATACTATATATTAATATAACTTAAGAATATTTAAAAAAATATAATTTCTGTGATATAATTTGTTACACTAAAATACTAAAGTAAGCATTTTTAGGCTTAGAAACGGACTAAATTGTTAATAGCACAGTGACATTTATTGTAAACTGCACTCTCATATAATATTAGGCTTAAAAATATTTTCCTGCACATACTGCCACTAACATTTGATGCAAGTTTTAATGTTAACTAATTATATTTGTCTTATATTTACATTTTTCTCAGAAATTTGTATTTATTTTTACAAAGATATGTTTAATAAATCAAGTTATTTGTAGCCTACAGAAGCACATAAGGAACCTGACACGAAGAATCAATTCCTTAAATATTAATCTTACTGTAATGGATGTAGTGTGTGTGTATGTATGTGACCAAAATAATAAACAAGAACACGACTTTCAACTTTCAGTAGGACTGTACGTGAGGGTTTGATTATATCTTTATTGATGTAATTTGTAAATATAGTCCTGAAAAAATGGAGTTCTTAAAAAAAATGTATTTTTTTATTATATAAAAACATCACAGTTTATATCGGTGCAATCTGATTATTTTTTTAGTGAAGTACTTATAAGAAAAATACTTTTTTTAGAAAATATTCACTTTTAAAAAATTTTCAATGAGGTATGAATGCTACGATTAATAATTACTAGCACAAGCAGGCACCCATAGGTCTGCATTTCTGCTAGTAGTATCTAATTCATGCCTTAACATGTCAGTTTTTATAAATCTATTTAATTTATATTTTTGGAAACATATTCGATCACTTTAATAGAAAACTATCTTTTATTGATGTTTTACAAAACTAAAAGTCAGTCTCATAAACAACCACATCTGTTCCCAAATGTATTTAAGTCAAATTGTCTCACTATCAACTTTTTGAATTTGTATATACTAAAAGAAAAATCGAACTGTTTTCAAAATAAACTTAGCATGATAGAAGATGTTTTTCAAACACAGGGTGTAACTGCTGTTAAATATAGTAGTACTGGAGATATCTTGTTGTGTCACTTTTTATATTTTATCAGTCAAAAACAATGTATTTTAAATCTATCATTTTAGTGTTTTGTTTCTAATTCTTTATTTTAGTTTAATATTGTAGCAAATTAATTTAACCTCAAACCTTATTTGGATTTACAGTAATGGGCAAACTAAGAGGAATGTGTATAAAGAAAAAATAAATATTTGCATTTGGAATAATTTTTATCACAAATATTAGGCTTGTGTGATTTTGTTCCAGAATTTGAAAGTTTTTAAGATAAATAATTATTAAAAGCTTAATACTGCTCTCATATTTCAGGGTGAAATCAAACTTCCCGTTATGATTGAAGAGGAAGTTCCTCGTGATTTACCACCGGGTGCATTGCTTTTTAGGCCTTTAAGACAGTTGGTATATGCCATTGTTTTTAATCTTCACCATATGCAGTTTATGGCAAAGCAGAAGAAGGAGAAAGAAGGAAAAGAAGGTACTTGTTAAAGTTACATACAACTATGAAGCTAAAGAATTTTTGAAAAATTTACAAGTCTACTAACACACTTCTATGGAATTAGTTGAAGCTTGCTAACCTAAGTGTACATTGTTATTAAAAAGCTAGTTGGAAGAAGGTTCTGGTTTTGCATAATTATAATTACTAGGTTAAATGTATGGTAAAGAAAAAGAATCTCTTGTGTGCATGTCTTTGGTTGTAGTGACATGCTATATACAAAAGTATTGTTGCCCTTCAGTGAGTGTGAATTTTTCCCCATTTCAAATTCATGATTAGATGATACCATGCATTATTATATAAATTAAGGGATCAGTCATTCAATCAAGAAGACTCAATTTTCTGATTCAACCTAAATTGCTTACTCTCTTGACCTGACAGAAACTTGTATGAATGTTCAGTCAGAGATTTATTACAGTGTTCTTTCTGATCTTTGATTATTCTAATTGAAATGTACAAAATGTATCACAAGTATTAGGAATTTGAAATAAAAAAAAATAATCACCTCTTTATTTCAAAATACTTTTTTTTCTGTAGAAAAAGTTCCTGATATCATAGTTAAAGAATGGATTTGGAGTAAACATAAGCAGTACAGTAGCCCCGACCTCGTGCCAGCTGTCTCTTTGGGATGGGCAGTGCCAACCATACAGCGTCTGTGGTTCGGAGTGAGCCCCGATGAGAAGAAACGACGTATGAGGGCTTTCTTGACATGCATGAGGAGTGATTCTCCACTGATGTTAAACACAGCATATGTGCCTCAGCACATGCTTATTATGTGTTGTGTTCTGAGGTATAATAGTAAAGAACTTTTAGAAGTTTTAACATCTTTATCCATAACATTACGATAAGCAAGCTTATAGTTTCTGAAAATAAAACTGTTTCTTAATAAACTTTAACAAGGATTTATATACATAGAAAATTATAAAATAATTAAAATTACTAATGTATAAATATCAAAATTCTTAGTAGTAAACACTCTTCTACTATTAGTAGTAGAATACTTAATTAATAACTGTTTGAATCAGGATTTAACTTGTTATAGGTACATTATGTCTGATGAACGTCCAATCTTGCGAAAGCAGGAGTTGGATGCTTTTCTTGCCCAAGGGGTTTCACCTCATCTCATGAATGCCCAGTTCACCCAGACTGTACAGGTAGCTAATGATATTTAACCAATTTTAATAGTCTTGCACATTTTTTCCCCCTATTTATTTAAGAATAAGTTGTTAATATTACAATTAATGAGCAATTATTCTGTGCATTTGAGTGTACATCTTTAGGCAACAATAATAATAATAATACACTTTCCAATGTTTTTAAAACACAACATTTAAAAGTGGGTTTTCAAACTTTTAAGATATTTCATTTTGTTGCAAGATATCTAATGGTTGTGTCTTGAAATCAATTTTAAGTGTCTTTTTTTTTTTTCAGCTGCCTGTTATTACAAACAGGGGTGTTGAACTTGCAGCAATATTCATGCAAGGTGTTGAATGTGCACTTTTTGCAAATGATGCCTGCGGTGCACCAGTCCCTTGGTTGATGTGTTGCCCTTGGTTGTTCTTTGATGGGAAACTGTTTCACCAAAAGCTTTTAAAAGCATCTGGAGCCAAAAACCTTGTAGATATCTGTGATGGTCAGGTCAGTGGTTAAAATTAAAGATTTTGTCTTAAAATGCACAAACTTGGTAAAAATTTTCTAAATGGTGTCTAGTTCTTGCATCATGAAACAATTATAATAAGTATTTGTAAAACTTTTTTGTTTTGAAACTTTTAACAACAATATAAATACTTGTTTCTTAGGTCTTCTATTTTTTGTTATTGATTAGAAAATCCAATTTTTTATATATCCAATCAGTCCTTTGATGGGTCAGCAATATGGACTTATAGTGCAAAACTTCAAGGTTCAATTTCACATGGTGGACAGAGCACAAGTAGCCAATTGTGTAGCAGTGCACTAAAACAAATATCCAATCAGTTTTAACTTTCCTGATACTCATCAGTATATTTCTTTTGATATCTTATTTTGCTGATTGAAATACATGGTATTACTGAAAAAACAAAACCAAATCACCATTTACCAAAATTTTTGTTTTCCTCTGAAGATTTAGCATAAGCTTGACAAAAAATCCTTATATAATTTTAATTCTATATACATTATTTACTGCCTACCTTTTCATTATTTTGACCATGTTTCTATGCCTTCAATTTGTTTAACTACGAATTTATTCCTTTATTAACTCCCGCTTATAATACCACTGAGGGATACAGCCTGAAGCTTTAACACTATGTGATCTAACTTCCAACAGTTCTGTGTGAATGTTAGTTACATTTTTAAAAATGTTCAGTTAAACAAGGTAACCTAAAGACAAAGTTTTAAATGAATTAAAACTAATTAGAGGCCTGAATTTTTTTTTTTAGTTTCTGATGAAAATATTATGCTCTAGTGCCTGAAGTCGTTGTCCACTGTTATATATATTCAGCAGCAAAGATTTTATATATTTGAGTGAAATTATATTTTGTACAATAAGCTTCAGATTTGTTAGATAAAATTACAATGTTAGTTAATTAGTAACCATAGATCTAAGATTGTATTGTACTAACTCTACAAGTTCGGCTTTCTTTGAGAACAATGAACAATTTGAAATTAGTAAAAAGTTATCCCTGGATTATTAGTACAGTTTATTTTGTATTGTTCATTTGTTATAACAGATTTCATTATAAATGTTTTATGTGTGATATTACTGGTGATTTGCCCCATTCTTATAGAGAGCTTTCTTTATGATTTAGAAAAGGTCTGAACTCTATCTTTTCACTAAATGTAAAGTAAGAGAACTCTTAACAATACAAAGAAATCTTGTATGATTACGTATCTATTCTCCTGTGGATCATATAACAATAGTTTTCTTATTATAACCTGTCAGTTACGATGTAAAAAAAAAAATGCAGACAATATGAATCTCTTAACAACATTAGAAGAGCTGATTTTCTGAGTATTATGAAGAGAATATTTTCTTTAGTTTTGAGATTTGTCAGCAGTTAGTAGTTAATATGAAAAAATAAAGAAAAGAAAAGCTTGAGATCAGTGTTTTTATTGTTATCTGTGTAGTTACTCGTTTTTATTAATAAATAAAGTAGTTCGATAGTTGATAAGTTCTGTTTGTATTACGTGAAGTGTTTGAAAACATTTTATTAAATTCATTAGTTACGGATATAATCGTGTCTGTGTGTAGCCAATGAAACTGGTGTCTGTCCAGTTTAATAAGTCTGAATTTCCACTTCTTAGGTGCTGTAAATTTGAATCAATAATATTTTAAAACAAACCTAGGGTTTCCTCATATTTTACAATAATTATGCATTCCTTTAGCTTGATCAAGTATCTTCAGTTGAACGGATGCGTGCTGCCATATTAGAAGGCCTTAATCCACAGTTTTCTCGACCACCACTAATCCCAATGGGACATCCTGGGTCAAATTTATCCAATTACTCTCGAAGTTATCCTCCTATGCTGCCACCAGGTGTTCACATACCTGCATCTAACCGTGGAAGGGGAAGGGGTTCTCCAGTCAGAGCTTCTACTGGTACTGTCAAGATCAGATTATTTTACCAGTTTTTTAAAGAAAAGATAGTTTAGAAATTAAACTGGAAATGATTTAAATGTTAAATTAAGATTTTATAAAATATTTACATCTGTAAACACGAAAGAGAAAAAAGCTTTAAGCATTTTAATAAGCAAAATATATTGATATTTAAAACCAAGTGATTTAACTCAGTTAGTATATTAGATTCTTATAGTGGTGTTTTTTTCACTTGAATGTAATACAACCAGAGTATTTTATTTCTTTATTCATCTTATTATTATGTATGATTACATTTCAAGATTAGTTTTCTACATAATTCTTCAGCATATTTGAATGTTTATAGTAAGTAGTTTAAAAAAGGTTAAGTACGTAGTTTGAGCCTCAATAAGCAGTGTTAGATAGAGTTATTGTTGACTTTTTTGGTGGATTTGTGAGGTATTATTGTTTGTTTTGCTGATGATTTTCATGGCTATATTTTCATATGTGGTTGTTAATGATCCATAGAAATGATTGAGATCTTTTGTTGTTAAAATCTTAGCTAGGTCAAATTCAGTTCATTGTGTGGTTTCTTTATAATTAAGTTGGTTCAGTTCTCTTCTTGGTGACAGTGATAATTCTTTAAATTTTTTTTTAATTTTTTTCAATTTGAAGAACTTTGGAATGAGCCCCGTATTGTAACAATCCTTTAGAAACATAAAACGATGGAGTGTTTTGTTTTTAATCCTTCCACCCCCCCCTTTAAACACTTTTCTGTGCAGATCACTGAGTTAAGCTTCTTTATTATCGATGTATGTGAAGGAAATTAACATTATAATGTATATTATGATTCTAAGTTTTATGTTATATAAGTTTTAATTCCTTTATTTCAAAAGAAACCTTAAAAAAAATACTTAACTTTGGGTTTGTTGTCATGTGATCCACAAACTATGAAAAATCTCAACTTTTGCACTCTCAGTTTTGTTTATGTAATGCCAGTCATGTAGATGTATGTCTAGACAATAGGTACATTTGCATAACCTATTGACACTTAAGTTTCAAAGTTCTATGTGGTTAAATGCAGTTGAAAAAAGTAATAAATTTTGTCAGTCCCTGATGGGTGCCACACCCACCTTCAGTGTAGTCATTAGAACGACCTCATTTTACACTATAGTTCAACAATGGTTATTTTGAAATTGGGATGCAGTTGTCATCTGGTAGATGTAACTGCTTGTAGTATGGTTGGCTGTTTTATCCCCGACAGCATTTATAGTTTTTTTCTTAGCTAAATATGTTAATAGTAAGAGATGCAGTTAAATTGTATTTAGGTCTTACTTTTATATTTTAGTTAATTATGTATTATTTATGTTTTAGAATGCATAATTGAAAGGTTTAAACATTTTTTAAGTATCACTTCTCAAGGCTTAAGATCTTCTGCGAGGGTAAGATAATTTTGCCGAGAGCTTGTGCATTTCTGCTGAAGATACTGCAATTACGACAGGAAAAGAAAATATAACATGAAAAATTAACTATATGTGAAAAGGAAAAGACCTGAAATTACAAATATAACCAAAAGAAGGTCTTTTAAGATATTGTACAAAAAATTAAAAGTTATATAAATTTTTTCTATTTCTTAATTTTAAACATTTCATTGCACTGTATGTTAATGATAATACAGTTAGTGATACGGCAGAGATAATGGGAAATAAAATATAAACATTTAAGTTTTAAAAACTTTTAGGAAGTTCTATAGGTTATGCAAATAAAACTCAAACTGTAAGATGAAGAAAAGTATTTTTATACTTAATGTGAAAACCACCTTGCACTCGAACTATTAAGAGTTTGAGTGCAAATAACTACAATAGATAAATAACATATTTTAGTAAAAATACTCAATTAAGATAGCATTGTTCTTTGTGAACAAGATACTTATAATCTTAAGCAAAGTCTTACCAGTTTTATGTTAAGAAATTTCAGAGTTACAGTATGTATTGTTACACTCGTATCATTCCCCAGACAGGGTCACGTATTTTACACGGCCTTGCTAAGAAAGAGTTAATGATAATAAACGTACAAAATTAACGTATATTACTAAAAAGGAAAGAAGTACCATTTCCTCATTAAGGAAGTGATTTAGGGAAAAAATGAAATAAAATAGGGTTCTATTATTATTTAATTTTAGTAAGGGTCTATTTTTCATTAGGGTGTGATATAAAGTCGTGGTTGACTTATTTCTTAAAAGAAGTGGACACATGCACCAAATAAACTTTTCTATAAGAGATCCAATTTTAATGAAACTTTGTTAGGAACTTCCCCTAATGATGTCGTAAAATCATGTGAAATGTCATCCAAACTGGACTTAAACTGTGGGAGGAGTTTTGTGGACAGACAGACAGAAATTAGCCTCTTAGTTCAGGGATATTTGATCAGAAAAGTTTCAGTTTTGTTATCACTATAAAGATTGTAAAGTTTTTTTCTGTTTATATAAATTTTTTTAATAAAATTTGAATATTTTAGAATATGGAGTATTTGGTTTTTTAAATGTTTATAAACATAGGATGGTCCACCGAAGGGTCCTTGTTTTCATAAACAAACATAGGATGGTCCACCGAAGTGTCCTTGTTTTCATAAACAAACATAGGATGGCTCCACCGAAGTGTCCTTGTTTTCATAAACAAACATAGGATGGTCCACCGAAGTGTCCTTGTTTTTTATAAACAAACATAGGATGGTCCAACGAAGTGTCCTTGTTTCATAAACAAATATAGGATGGTCCACCGAAGTGTCCTTGTTTTCATTTTTCTTCCAGTTTCATGTAAATAAGATCATTTGCGTTTGTCATATTACGTTTTATATATTACTCCTTTCGTTTGGGATCATTTCATCTAGTGATGTTTATTTTATTCCTGGTTCTTGTATGATTAAAGTTGTTTTTGATGAGTTGTTTCCATATTTCTACAAGGTTGTTGCTGACAAGTTCAGTATAAACAGAAGAAATACTGCAGAAGTCATAAAGATCAAAATATTTCAGAACTCCTCTTTAACTTTACAATTCTACATTATAAATATATATATTTAATTTTGTTTTCATTTTAAAATTTTTTGTAATTTATTTACAATTAAAAATCTTAATTCAAGATGTGCACTGCGAAGAATATCTGTTATTCTTTGAATTTGTAATTCTGTTAATCATACACTGCCCACTCCTTTGAGCTGAAACATCACAGTTTTAATTGCTTAAGAATATTCCATTGTAATCCTGTTCACAGTGTTGAGTTTCAACTTCAAAATAGTAAATGTATTGCCAATACCAAATTTTATTGAATAACCCCAAAGTTATCATGTTTGTATATAATTAAAAAACTTATTCCATTAAATAGAAAAATACCTCTCTTTAGTAGCTGGCCGTCGAATGATTTCTCATGGTGGACAACTTGAGGTTGGTGGAGTTGTTGTTGGAAGTTGGGGTCCAAACTATGGTCAACTTCCTCATTCACGCAATAGTTCTGTGCCCTCTCATGTTAGTACCATGGCTGGAATTCGAAGGTAGACATTTTTTTACGTATCTTACATAGCACTGTAGTAAAATTTGAAAGTAGAAAATTATTTTTCACTAATTTGTAACTTGATACCGTGGCTGAGATTCAGATGTAGAAAAAGTGTTTTATACTATTATGAGGACTGGTATCATGATTGATACTTTAAGTTTAGGAAATATTTCATGGTTTAATATGAATTTGTGCCCAAAGGTATAAAACCCTTAATTTAGTTGCAGAGATAAATGAAATAGATAAATATATATGTTTAAGTGAAGTTCTTAAATAAGCAAAGTTTGGTGGGACACTTAGTTATTTTTCTATGAATCAGTTTGCAAGATTCTTTTTGAAACACATTGTTAATGGTTTAAATGCTACTATATTTATTGTTTTGTTACTTTGTATAGTTTCAGTTTTGTCTTGTGTATAGGTATGGAACTTTAGCGACTCCTGTGGGGCGCGGTCTTACATATCGCCGAATTCCCACAACTAAAATTCGTAATCCAGGTTTGGGTGTAAGTCCCATTTTCTTTAGTAGAAATAAAAATATTTAAAATGTGTAATTTTGGAATGTATATATATCTTGGTATTTCTAGCAACTGCACAGTTCAGCATTTCTTAAGTAAATACTAGTTTTTAACAGCTATATTTATTTGTAAAAGTAATTCAGTAATGTGTGAGTATCATAAATGTTTGTTATTAATTATTGTTCCATTGATTATGAACCAATTCAAGAGAGACTGGTCCCTTTTTTTGTACAATTCAAATGAGATTGGTCTTTTTTTTTATATACAATTCAGGCAAGACCAGTGTTTTTTTATTTGTACAATTCAGATGAGACTGATCCCTTTATTTCTAGTTTATCTCACTTGTGTACAAATAAATGCAGTCTATAGTAATTTGCTCAGTTGTGTGAGTATCATGTCACTAAATCAGATTTCTAAGGCTTTTAGATAATTATTTGCAGCTAATTCAAAGTAAGAATTTGGGTGTCACAGTGCTTTTTATACTCAAGTCCATTGGGCTTGTAATGGAACCTGCCACATCTAACAAGTTTTTTTTTAATTTTTTGAAACCAGAGTGGGGATTCAACATCACTTAGTTTTTATTTTTTCAGATATGCATACACACACATTAAAAGGTACACTATTATTTTGTTTTAGTCACAGTTTTCATGTAGTGCATTTTTTGTTTCCAAGTTTCTATTCCAAAATACTTTCAAAATAATTGTGGTTTAATATTTAGATACATAATTTTAGAAAGTTACTTATGTTTGTTTATGCGTATCATAGTAATACATGAAATGAGGAACTTTTAGGTTTTCAGCAAAAAGAAACAAAAGAACAAGAAAATAGGAAAGGAAAAATTATCCGATTCTGAAACCCCAGATGTTTCACCTGTCAAGCTCCCTCTAGGACGAGGCTGTACCTTAGAAACCTCAGACAGGTTTGTATAATAATTTACTTCAGTTTTACGGTATTTTTCTTAAAGATGATAATTATAACTTTTTTAAAAGCACTAATTTCAAAATGTTTATGAATGCCAAAAGAACGAACAAAAAAAAAGTGTTTAAATTTTTCAGTCAAACAATTCAAGTCAGCCAACTGATTCCCCCAGGTGATGATGATACAACAGATAGCCCCCTAGTAGAGGTCCAAGACAAGAGTGGCAAGTATGAGAATACTAATGAAATTATGAACCAGAAGTCTGATACATCTAGTCCCTATGGGCAGCTGAACAATGGTCCGTATCAGCCCCCTGTTGATCTCGAAATCCAGGGAGACAGGGATCATTGTCCCTAGTATAATGATCTCAGTTGTAAGTGAAGTCACATCATTTCTGTACAAGATCATGAGAACTATGGTGTGTGACTTCACCTGCAAAAAAATGGAGTGAGTGAGAGTAAAACTATTCAGTATTGTAGACTGCTTTTTGAAACACAAACCCATTTTTAGGCTATATTCCTATGACATGGATCTTACTGATCTCATGGGAAAAGCTTAAGTTGTTGTTTGTTGTGGGTATCTGTTTTAAAAAGCACTCATTTTTTTGATTTTATTTTTTTTTTTTTTACAAGTGTAAAGGAGAGGTTATTTTTCTATTGTTTGTTATTTTGTTACAGCTGATTTGACCTCATCAGCTGTTGTTGATATATCAATTTTTTGAGGCTGGAATTGGTAGTGAGTATTCTCACCAGGGGGCTTTCTACAACCCCCGTAATAAGGGCGACTGGTGGTTTGGAAAGTGCAGGGAATGCCTTAAAATATAAGAGAAGGTAATCAATAAGTAGAGGAAGAATTAACTCAAGCTTTAAGCTACAGCTAGATTTAATGCAGGGCATTCCTAGGCCTCTTGATTGAAACATGCAATCATTGTGAGGACACAACAGATTTCATTAAATGAAATCATAATGACAGCCTTTAAAAAGTCAGGTTTAAAACAAAAGAAGACTCGCTACTTGCCGAACAAAGCAGCAATGCTACATGTTCATAGATTAGTAGACAAATGTTTTTATATGGTTTAAAAATAACATCTGAAATATAAGCCACTTGCAGTAAATCAAGTCCATTGATATGATTTTCTTTGTCTCCCGAATATATGAATTTTCCATGAATGACTGTACTAATTGTGCTTTTAAGCTCCAAAAAGTCATTTTAAGACAAAGTGTAAAAATGTAAACGAAACATGATAGACAACATTGAAGATTATTTTTGGCAGATTAAAAATTGACAGAACTATTTTTGCCATAAATATCTTCAGGGTAAAACAAGTAAAATGAAGGATGGAACATTTTGTAAAAAAATCTATTAAACTAAAGATTATACAAGGCACAGGATGCCGAGTCCTACAAGACCTAAATATTTTAATGTGTAACCATTTTTCGTATCTGTTTGGCTTCTCTAGCAATTTGAAAAATTCTGAACTGTGTTTAACTTCAGAAGCTTTTCATTGTGTGTATGTTTGTTATTTAAATTGGTTTAGGTATTAGTTTTAAACTCAAAATATTAGAGATGTGTATTCTCAATAATTATATCTATAAAAATGTAGTTTTTCTAAGGGGCCCACAACAAAGTGAACTCCTACACTACTTTCAGGTGTATTAATGTTTATTATACATGAATTTTTGTGTTTATGGCTTTAAAGACCATTGATTTTTAACTGGAATTCTTTAATAAACATTATGGAGGAAGCAGATATGTAATTGAATAATTATGATCTTATTAAAAAAAAAAAAACGTATTGTTGACAGTGTTGCAAGACTTCATAAAATGCTGATTAACATTAATATGTACTCACCAAAAAAAATTGCAACATCAGCCAGTGTTTTTAAGGGCTTTTTTCTCTTTGTCATTTAATGTTTAGTTCTGATATTTTAGAAATAGTTACTTTAAGAAACTTGATTATAAATATACAAGTATTCGAAACATTTGGATTTGGTTGTCCTTTATTGGTCAATTTATTTGTATGAGAGATATTACATGCTACCTGGTGATACTGAGTGTCAGGTACCTTAAATATTTGAATAACATCTGTTATTTAGTAGCAAAAATTTTTGTCATAAATTATGGTAAAATCTTATCAGTGACACATTAATGTATAGAGAAAGAAATATACTTATATATCACAAAACAAATAGACAGGTGTTTATTGTGTGAACTACTGAAAGTTGAGAACCAAATGATATTTTCATTATTCTTGAATATCTTTTTACAGCTTGGAAGTATCTGTTTTTGAATTGCCGATACATTTATCCAAATATTTGCAATTTTTTTTGTGCTACTGTAATGTTATCACGTATTGATTTGTAATAGTTTGTTTATGTTTTTATTATATATAAAGAATAACTAAAGAAATATTCTATGTTAAAATAGTTACCCCCATTTTTCAGTAGAAATGGATGTTCATAACATGTAACTTTTTTGGTGTTTATTTTTTACTACTTTATTCCTTTCTGACTGATATATTCTTATATACTGGCATTTTGAGCAGCTTAGGATAGGACAAAGCTAGTGTGAACAACAAGGATAAAAAAAAAAAGTCGTTAAATAGATAATGCAAATTGACCAATAATGAATGTTCCATGAATCCATATGTTTTGTACTCCTGCTTTCTCTGATTCTGGTTGTATAAATCTGTGAGCTAAGAAGACTATGCTAGATATATATACATCTGAAAATACATGAAGTTTGTATTGAAGTACTTCAAACGTAAAACAACCAATGTTCTGTAAACTTTAAATTTTTTGTCAGTGTGAAAACCTATAACTGTTTTGTTGGTTGTATTTTTGCATTTCAGATTGATTTTACAAAATATAAAGCTTGAAGTATTTAAGGTTTATATGTTTTCTGGGCAATATTAACCCCATAAGTATGTAATACTGAGGCGTGCCTCTTTAGATATCTGTGCTGATTTTAACAATTCGATGTTTAGTTACCTTGTTTGTGGATATGTGGTTTTGACTTTTTTAAGTGGTTGCACAGTAATAATAGGTTCTTATGTTTAGAAATAAATGAATTGCAAGGAAAAATAAATTTTGATCCACTTGCAATCATAATATTCTAATTAATGTTGTAAGTTTACTAAAAATGCTATGTAACAGTAAAAATGATAATGTGCATCATAATATAGGTTTTTAAGAAGATTTCATTAATGTTCAATGGATTTTTTCTATTTAAAAGCTTAATTATTTGTATCAATTTTACAGAAAATTTCCAGTGTTTATTTTAGTGTTAGTTTATAGTATTTAAAGGGTAACCGGCTTATTATATTCATATGTACGTGTACGTAAGCAGAGAGTCTCACTAAGATTTCTCAAAACATTGTGGTTACACCCCAGGAATGGAAAACTAAAATTGAAGGTTGGCTAATACTTGTACCCATTTCTGTCTACTGGAAAAATTTTGTCACGTTTAGGGTGGACCATTGAGTTAAAAGAGCTTAAGTGTTGCTAGGTTTCGTGAGACTGTAGTTTGTATTCACGTACAGACCGAAAAATATTATTAATCTTTAATTTCGTATGTGTTATTAGTGAAGTTTTAATTAGGTTTGTTAATGTAGATGAAATTAACATAAAGTTTCAGTCTTCTGATGACATTTTTTTTTTTTAGTTATAGGCTTGAGCATTTTTTGTGCATTTAAAAATGTTTTAAATATATATATACATATAAACTTTCTCTTTTTAACTGGTTAGTTTGAATATGAAATATACAGTTTTTATGGTATTTCCATATTTGGTAGTAGCAGTTGGGTGGGTTTTTCAGAACAGAAAATGTACTTCTTAAACAAGATGTATGGTAATTATTTTTTAATGGAAGAATGTTTTCATACTGAAGCAATGTTACAGATGAATAAGTATCTCCTTGACCTCAGATTGGGTACAGGTCAAATTTGAAAATGTTAATGAACTGTTGTTTGTTATCTGTAATATACCAAAGGATTTATTTAGTTCCCATAAATTCCTACTAGAGTTGTTATACAAGTAACTTTTTTTCCACATAGTTTATGCAAAAACATCAGTATCTCATTCATGATTTGAAGACCTGTTTAAAACGAGTATCCGCAGGCTACAAAAAAAAAAGGACTTAAGTTTTTCATATGTTCTTTCTGCATTAAGAATATTAATCATTCATCTTAAATAGTTGAGATTACAAGTTCGTTACAATAACAGACATTGTGTATGTGCTGAGGTAGATAAAAACCTGCTCGAAGAAACTGGAGAATGGAGTGGAAAAAGTGTTTGCAGAAATGTATTTTTGAATGTTGTATTGCCAGTTGTCATTAAAAAAAATTTTGTGGAACAAAATGTAATTATTTTTTTCAGGACTTTGTTGCAAATGACCAATATTAATCCATAATGTAATATTTGAAACAAGTTATGAACTTTTTCTAAATATGTGATAAAAGTTTTGTATTCCACTTAGCTGGTTTTCAATCAAATGACCCAACCTATTATTGTTGACTTCCCATCACTAAACCTAATAGGCCTATAGTTACTGGGACAATTTTTATCATCTTCCTTGAAATTAGGAGTAACATTAGCCAACTTGCAACCTTCTGATGCTTGCCTCCTATTCAATGACAGAGAAAAAAAAGTAATAGCAAGTGGCTCACATATCTTAAAAACTTTGGGTAAATATCTCAACTAGGTGATTTATTAATGTAATCTTGTTTGGGATGAGGAATATTTCTTAAATCTTCATTAATTAGCCTTCCTCTATCATCCCTCCAAGGAACGACTCCTAACATTTTCATATGCTTTTTTGATTTACTCTCTTAATCTTCAATATCTCCCATCACTGCATTCAGTTTATATGTTACATTTATAATGCTTTTATATCCTTTGTGAGCCAACCTTGGTTTTTTTTTCTTCTGAGGACCATGCCTATCTTGAATATTTATTTTTTCACATTTGATCAGTCTCTTCAACTAATTTGGTTGCACAATTAACAGCAGATAATTATTGTCTCGCCTCTTCAAAATGTCATTATTCCTTATCTACATATGTAGCAATGATCAATCTTTACCCTATCAACAATAAATCTAAAACAGCATTGTTTCTAGTTGGTTCCTTGACTACCTGGTGAAGAAAGCCGTCTTGAACAGTTTCCAAAAACTTTTTTCCCTCATGGTTTGACTCTAGAATTTCCCAATCTATATGCCTGAAATTAAAATCACTCATAATTATGACTTCATTAACAGCTGAAATCTTAATCTCATTGTAAATTTGGTGGTCTGTAACAAATTCCCACTAAAAGCCTTTTCCCTTTATATCCATTAATAGAAACCCAAATGGATTCAATCTCTTTGCTATTATCTTTGATATCCTCAACGGGAGGTAACTCACATTTTACATATAAAGCCAGCCACCCCCCCTCTCTCTCTAATATTCTACCACAATTAACTAGCCTGTAGCCCTGTATTTCAAATAAATTTCTGTCATCAAAATCATCTACGTTTAACCATGTTTCGGTTATTCCCATTATATCAAAATCCTCCATCCCTACCAGTGCTCTAAAGTCATCTATTGTATTTCTTATACTTCTAGCATTACAATAGTAACAATTAAGCCTATCCTTATAACTACTTCTATACTCATTTTCTATGCTAAACTTTTCTCTACATCTAGCATTGTACCTACTAAGTTTGCTGGTTGTATTGGTGGAATAAGTTCATTATGAAAAGGGAATTTTTTGTAATGGGTGGTTTACATTTAAATAAGTTAGGAGCTGGCTTGCTTGCAAGGGCTATTAACTCAACTGTAAAGGCAACTTTAAACTGGGACTAAACAGTCAAGGCTAGAATAATGAAAGATGTATAGAGGGCCTATAGTGTGAGAACAAGGTAAAAAAAGTAGTATTAATAGTAGGCAAAACTGAAACCTGACTAAATATAGACAATTTTGATGACAGAAAATTATTTTAAATGCAGGGTTATAAGATTTTAAATAGGGATAGAGTACTAAAAAGATTGGATTTATATGTAAAATGTGAGTTACAGGCTTGTTCAAGTGGAAGATATTTGGGTTTCTGTTAGTGGTTATAAGGGGGAAAAGCTTTTAGTTTGAATTTGTTACAGATGAAATTAATGAGAAAAAGAATTGAATAGTTAATGAGGTCATAATTATGGGAGATTTTAATTTCAGCCATATTGAAAAATGTTAGTCAAATCATGAGGGAGAACAGGTTTTATTCAACAATTGGTTAGGGAAAGTGTTTTTGTAGTACACATAGGGGTTAATGATGTAGGGAAAGGTAGGCCAGAGGAGCTTAATGTACCATACAAGGTATTCAAAGAAAGGGGCCATAATAAACTAATTCTGTCAGGATGAAATGATAAGTATACTGATCACTAGGACTAAATGCTAGGCTTAGGTTAATATGCAAGGACAAGCTGCATCACTTGTTACCATATTATATTCTCTATCCCTTTTCCTGGATAGCATAATATAATTATTTTCTCCTTATTTATCCCAAAGACTATTCTATTCATGTGCTGTATTGAATTATCTCTCATAACATTAAACTCCTTATGCTTTTCATTCCCATCCCTATATGTCTGTCTCGTTATCCTTTCTTCTAGTTCATCGTCTATACAAGCTAAAGGCTGAAATCTGTTATTTAATAGAACCTACTCATTATAATTTAATCCACTACTACTAGCCCTATTAACTACTTGAAGCCAGTCTATCCTTCACATGTAAAAGCTTAATTTCTTTTATAATTCTGCTTCTATTTCTTGCAGTTTACCTTTCTCTTTATCCAACCTTCCTTAAATGTGCATGTCAGTTCCAAATAAAACCCACTCCTTGCATCTACTGCACTTTGCAAATTGTGAGCTCTTAATCTTAGTAGCTTGGGAATAAATAGTCAAAACTATATACAAGTAGCCTGTTGACAACACTGGTAAGCCTAACATTATAGTTAAATATTGTACTTTATTACCACCTCATCTTCTCGCTAAAGTAACTAAGTTTATCTTTAGAATGAAAAGTGACAAATAACTAGTCTTTAGATTATACTTATGTAATAATATCATTTATTTAACCTGTTTTATAACATTAAATTGTAGATTATCATAGATAAATGTTCCACCAAAATCAATATTTATACCATAAATTACCAACGTCAGCACCACAGCCATGATATACACCATGTTTCTAGTTACAAGCAAATACATACTAGCTTAAACACTTTAGTAATGTTTTAAATTCTCAACATCTATTAAAGAATGATATAAACAGTCGTTTAAACATTAAATATAAATTCTCCTTATTTAGCTAACACTAGTGAAATTCTTCATTTCAATCTAATGTTTAATAGTTTTATTATCTTATAATACTAGTAGTAGTAGTTTCCTAAAGACTAAATAAAAAAATGCCTAATATCGTAACTATTAGGTTTAGCTGTACCTGTAGTAATCAAACCAAGAAGTGTCCAATAACAATTCTAGACTTCTCCAGATGAATACTATAACCCAGTGTTTCTTAAAAGGTGTGGGGCACGAGTGATTAGGGTGGAGTCAATAAAGAAATAATGCAAAATTAAATACATATTTTTCATTAATGAAAGTAATAAGTAATTATTACAATGCATATAGCATTTTAATGTGTAACGGTGTATTATATTTCTTCATTTAACTCACTCTTTCATACATGCAAGAAACCATATTTATTTAAGGGGGACAGGGATGACAAACGTTTGGGAAATGCTGCTGTAGCTTACAACTATAATTATTTCTTTGCCTCAGAGTTTAAATCTTCTGTCCGTTACACAGCTCCCTATAAAAAAATAAATTCAACAGGGTGCATGGCATTAAAAAATCTTGTAGAAATTAATACCTTTAGTTTTGTTAGAGACTTTAATGATTGTTATTGTTTGGTTTCTTCGTATCTCATAACATAGATGTACTTACCAAACATCATGTTAAGGTTTGCCGAAGAGTACCAAAATATTAAGACATACACAATGTTAACAAAGAATTAAAATTAAACCTTTTATGAACTTAAAAACAAATAAGGCTCAAAGTATTTAGTTTGGCATGCAACTGGTGATGAAGCAAGTTATTAAGTATCTGATGAAACTGAAATACCGTGAAATTTAAAATGGTGCAAGACAGATCAGCCTTTCAAACCATGCTTATTACCTCAAGTGAAAAGTTTAAATACGAACAAGAAGGACTTAATGTAAGAATCGTGTAAGCTTATTTAACCTATAAATAAGTTTCAAAATATTTTGCATAACGAGCATATGTTCTTAATATAGAAAATCATTCAATGAAGCCACCAAGTTCTTTTCATCCTAATTACTCCCAGAATTGGTCATTCAATGAGGATATTACGTGTACTTTCTCAGGGAATGATTGCCATAACATACAAACATTGTAAGTGAAGAGAAACTGTGGGACTTTGGTTTGAACCCAGGACCTTTGACTAACAAGGCCACTGAGCTACCTAAGAGTGCAATTCATCCATAAGGCTTTTTTTTTATTAGAAGTATGAACTTCATACTATGTTGTGTTGTTGTAGTATGAAGTTTCTGCTCCTACTAAAAAGGCTGTATTTAAAAAAAAAATTGCAATTCTTAATGAGTATGTACAAAATTCACATTTCACCATTTATCAATGGGAAAATATAGGTTTAAATTATATTTATTAAGGTACTGTTTTCACTTCACTGCTTGGATCATTAACAAATGCACACCCATGTTCTATACATTTTTTTCCTAGTACTGTAAATCAGTTGTCAGGATCTAGTGAGCTTAAACTGGAATATCTCCTGAATCATAGAACCAGTGTGCAGTGTCCAATCATAATTAAATATACACGAACTCTTAACTGGAATATCTCCTGAATTATAGAACCAGTGTCCAATCAATCTCCTGAATCATAGAACCAGTGTCCAATCATAATTAAATATACACGAACTCTTAACTGGAATATCTCCTGAATCATAGAACCAGTGTCCAATCACAATTAAATACACATGAACTCTCAACTGGAATATCTCCTGAATCATAGAGCCAGTGTCCAATCATAATTAAATATACATGAACTCTGAACTGGAATATCTCCTGAATCATAGAACCAGTGTCCAATTACAATTAAATACACATGAACTCTCAACTGGAATATCTCCTGAATCATAGAACCAGTGTCCAATCACAATTAAATACACATGAACTCTCAACTGGAATATCTCCTGAATCATAGAACCAGTGTCCAATCACAATTAAATACACATGAACTCTCAACTGGAATATCTCCTGAATCATAGAACCAGTGTCCAATCATAATTAAATACACATGAACTCTAAACTGGAATATCTCCTGAATCATAGAACCAGTGTCCAATCACAATTAAATACACATGAACTCTCAACTGGAATATCTCCTGAATCATAGAGCCAGTGTCCAATCATAATTAAATACACATGAACTCTGAACTGGAATATCTCCTGAATCATAGAACCAGTGTCCAATCACAATTAAATATGCATGAACTCTTGAGAAACATGGGACAGTCTGTTATTTCTAACCAAACTTTCCATTTCTGATTTAACCTGCATTTAGACATAACTAGAAACTAATGGAACAACTAATAAAGTGAAACAGAAAGACTGAAAGGTTTGCAATCTTATTGGTTTTATTCATGTTATTATTATTATTACTTAATATCATCACAGAATAAATTAATCTAGAAAGTTCATGCTATGTTGTTCTGACTTAAAACTTGTTGGTTTGCAATACTGCTCACAAAAATGTATCGAACCACCTAACAGATTTACCATTAAGTGCAAGAACACGTAGATGGCTCTGAGCCAAACTATTATTTATGGTGTTCAGTATTTTTTAATTTCTTTATTAAAGACATTCAGGAAATTGAATTCAAGATTTTTTATTCATGGAAGTTCTTTCTTTGTAGTTGTTATTGATACAACTAGTAATGTAATATAGCTACAAAATGTCTTTGTGGTCGGTACGTATACCCAAAATTAAGGTAACTACAGAATTTTTTTTTTTTGGAGTTGCTACAGATATGACCCATATTTACACTAAGCACAAGAATTGCTTTTCTGTAGTTACTATGGATACAATGCAATATTTAAGCTAGTAACATGTTTTTTTTTCTCTTTAATTAAAGTTGCTATAGATACAATCTGACGTGTAGTCTACCTAGAAGATTGCTATGGATACAAACAAAATATACTTAATCTAGCTACAAGCTCTCATGAAAAACTCATCAAAACTTTCACTGCACTATTTTTCTTCTTCATTATCTTTATATTTCAGGAATTTTATTTTAAGAATGTAATATGTGTTCCTTGGACCAAATCACACACATTCTACAGTGAACAACTGGACTTCTTTAAAAAGCACAGTTCTGCTAACAAGGTACTTTCACCACACACACACTACACGTTTCTCTAACTAAAGCAACTGGTAAGACACGTCTATTCTACTCTGTACAGTTAATTTTTAACTTAACAATCAAAATGCTCTATTACACCATAACCTCACCAAAGCATGATTATCACATTGATTAATTATAAAAAATCTTCTCAAATGTATTGTATGTTTCCATCTTACTTAATCCTGGTTAAATTGATTTATGTGAAATCATGGATCTTTGAGTTGTTAATGAAGATCAATGTAAATTTTCTATTTACAGTGTGCATGTAGAAATAATTAACACCTTGAGTTTCTACAGTATTCACTATTTATAGTGCATGTAGAAATAATTAACACCTTGAGTTTCTACAGTATTCACTATTTATAGTGCATGTAGAAATAATTAACACCTTGAGTTTCTACAGTATTCGATATTTATAGTGCATGTAGAAATAATTAACACCTTGAGTTTCTACAGTATTCACTATTTACAGTGTGCATGTAGAAATAATTAACACCTTGAGTTTCTACAGTATTCACTATTTATAGTGCAT